CCATCCCATCCCACTTCCCTGGATCAGATCCTCAGCAGCTCACCCTGGGGTGTGGTAAGTGCCTTCTCTGTGGTCTCCCGGGCTGGAGTCCTCATCCAACAGCCTCTCCAACCTGCAAGCCCATGCTCTGCCTCTAAAACCCCTCTGGCCCGTTTCTCCCTGCTGTGGTCTCTCCGGAGACGCCCCCATGGTGCTCAGGGTGAAGTCTAAACTCTGAGGCTCTTCCTGATCTAGCCACAGCCTCATGCCTCCTGCTGGGAGTCCACCTGCCATCCGTCAAGATCCTCGATGTCTCAGGAACACACCTCACTGTTTATTGTGCCCTCGACTTTGTACCTTTTCCTAGGGATATCTTATCCACCCCTCTCTGCCAGCTGATCTCATGCTAGTCCTGAAAGCCCACACTCAACTGGGATGGGGCTCTGGTTCTCGCCTCGGAGCACTTGGCCCAGTTCTTCTGCAGCGTGTGTCACACTGGCTTGTGTGTTTGCCATCACTTTCTTAATTGTCTCACCCAACTGTGAGCCTTGGGCATCAGGACGTAGGTACCAGAGGTGTGTGCATGGGCAGTCTGTGCCCGGCCCTGTCTGCGTTTGAGTCATGAAGGAGAGAAGAGCATCCGCTTGCAGTCAGAAAGACACACAGGTGACAGAGGAGGAACGCTGCCCTCCCAGACACTCTGGGGGCTTGCCTGTGGCCACCTCGTGACAGCCGAGAAGAGCAGAGCCCTGAGGCCCTCTAGCCCCAAGCCCTCCCGTCTCAGCTCCAGCAGAGTTCCCAGGATCCCACTCTCTCCCTCAGAAGGCACAGGATTCCCCAAACAGCAGCTGGAGCCCCTTCTAACAGTACCTCACGGCTGCTGGGGGGAGGGAGATGCCGCGGAGAGGAATGAACTCATATTAGTTTATTCCCAAGATTAACATACCGAAAGCTTCCTTCATTAAAATTGCAGCACTGCAAACACGTCCTGGTAAACTTGGACAGGAAAGCTTCTCTCCAAGGGATAAGAAGTTGTTTCGAGATGAAGGCGTTATCTGACTTGTCGCATCTGATTTTTCAGGCAAAAAAAAAAAAGCACCTCTATCCCTTTTTCTGTCTCCTATCTCACTCTCCTTCTCTTTTTCTTCCTCTCTCTGTCCCCCTCCTCTGCCCCCTCCCCCTCTTCCACTGTGCCCCAATCCCAGCTGCAACTTCCCGGATGAAAACCAAAGATGTGGCCTTGCAGTCTGGGGGTGAATATTCAATTAGTTCCAGGCCAGGGATTCCTGATCAATATTGCCTTCTCGAGGCAAAACTGTTACAAACCCTCTTATTAAGCAATTCTAAGGCCTGGTGCCGATACCCACGACTGGTAGCTAATCTGCGCTTTAATTAATACCTGCCCCTTGGTTAGCTAGAGCCATGGCTCACTCAGGGGTGGTTTTCAGTCCCCCACTCCCCCTGCTGTGAAGCTGGTAGGAGCATGGCTCTTATATGAGGTTGTGGTCACGTGGGAAACCCAGCCTTAATCTAGCCCTTTGGTGCCCAGCCCCAGGGGCTGAGAAGTAGAATAATAGACCCTCAGGAATGGAGGGGCCCACGAAGCCCAGATTCAGGGAAGAAAACTGCCCCAAAACACACCCATTCACACACTCACAGTTCACATCTCTACCAAGTGACTGTTCATCATTTACTTGCACACGTTCAGTGACGGAGAGCTCACTACCCCGCAAGAGACCCTGTTCTACGGCCAGCTATGATTATGAGTCAACTCCTCCTGAGACAGACTCTGCCTCCATTGGTCCTGGCTTTGGACTTCAGTCCTGCCAGGCTCCCTCTCCCTTCAAATATGCCTGCCACTCCCTGTCCCAGTGCTTCCAATGGCTTCCTTGGCCTATGGAAGATCCTGTAGTAGTTGGCATTAAAAGGCCTCCATAGTAAGAACAGTAACATCGACAATCATAATTTGTTGAGTGTTTACTCTGTGCCAGCCCCGTGCCGAGCACTTTATATGTGTTTTATAATCCTTGTAATAGCACCATGAGGAGGATGCTGTCGTTATTCCCTGCTTTACAGCCAGGGAAACTGAGGCAAGGTGGACTTAGGTGACTTGTTCAAGGCCAAGCCACAGATCTAACAAGGCTCCTGGGCAAGGCTTCCCTGACTCTGTCTAAACAGTGTGTCTACCCCCACCCTGGGCTCCTGTCACACCTCATATGTGAACTGTCACTGCCCTCATTTCTGGGGATTCACTTGGATGTAAATCTTTTGCATGTTTGTCTCATGTAACTCTCTCAGGCAGAGGCTGGCTGCACCTCATTCATTTTGGAATACTACACACTTAGAATGGAGCTCAGCTCTTAGATTGCGCTTGAAGGAACGAGTGAGCTAAACTTCTGTGGAGGCTGCTGGGGCCCAGACTGAAATGCCCCCAGCTAAGATATCAATCAAAGAAGAAACTAAATGTCAGGGGAGCTCCACAAAGACTACCTGGATATACGTACAGAGAAAAGGCAAAGCTGAGTGGCAGAAAGAGCCTCAGATCGGGGGAATCAGGAGCCCTGGGTTCTCGGCCCAGTTCTGCGAGACTCTTTATGGTATGAGGGCAAGTTCCTTCTTCTTTCTGGGCCTGGGCTCCCCATGCACAAGCTTTGGTTTGCATTGACGGCTTCTAGACCCTCAGCACTGTTAGCCAGAGGGGGGCACTTTGACCAGGGCTCCCCAGCTGTGGCTTGGGTGGAGTCTGGTCAGCAACTCCCCAGCTGGCCCCACTGCTACTGCTCCAGACTGCTGGGCACTGCCTGCCGCACCGTCACCACTTCCCCATCTCCTGGCTGAAGGATGCCCAGAGAAGCAATGGTAATAGCAACAGTGGCCGCAGCTAATCCTCAGACAGCACTCACAGTGCATCAGGCATGGTTCTACGCACTTTACAAGCCCAGTTCCCAAAGATGGGGTGCCCTGGAGGACCCTTCCAGGGTCGACTGTCAGCCTGAGGCTGGGACTCCCTCTGTCCCCAGTCTGGGCCCAGAACCCATGGCCAGGTCCAGAGGACAAGCCCCTCTCTCAGCTGACGACCCTGCTTTCTGATTCACTGAGAAAATAAAAGCAACCAGACAAGACTTCACCCCTCCCTCTCCCTCCCAAACCTTTTAACCCATCTACCTTTACACCCACGCTATGAAACCTGCAAATCGGATCATGTCCTGTGGCTACGGCTCTCGGCCACGGCATGGCAGTGGGCGGTGATGGCGAGAATGGAAACTGGACCCTGAAGGGTGCATGAGGGAGTTAACAAGAGAATCTCTGAAACACACAAGGCACAGCGTCTGGCCCAGAGGAGGACTGGGTGGTGGGCTAGCATAGCGGGAATGACACTCCAATGACAGCGATCCGTACGCATTCGCCACTCGCGCTGTGCGAGGCGCTGAAGTAAGTGCTTTCTGGACTCTTACTTCCCAACAACTCTGCACGTGAGCAAACAGAGCTCAGAGACATCAAGTCAGTCAGTCAGGAGGCGACCAGTTATCTGACACCAGAACCGTCACGTAAGCACCCCGCTAGACTGCCGCCGACTGGGGCTGCCCTTCCCTCTCTGACCCACGTCAGCGCCCACTGGTTTACTGACGGAATCAGGTCTCCTCACTCCTAAGCCATCACTCTTTTTTTTTTTTTTTTTTGCAATACGCGGGCCTCTCACTGTGTGGCCTCTTCCGCAGCGGAGCACAGGCTCCGGATGCGCAGGCTCAGCGGCCATGGCTCACGGGCCCAGCCGCTCCGCGGCATGTGGGATCCTCCCGGACCGGGGCACGAACCCGTGTCCCCTGCATCGGCAGGCGGACCCTCAACCACTGCGCCACCAGGGAAGCCCCCTAAGCCATCACTCTTGCCCCTGTTACCCCATTACCCTTTTCTGCCTTTTTTCTCCTCAGTACTCAGGCATCATTAAATCTGACACCAAGCATTCAGGCGTTCCCTTGGTGACTGAGGCTCAGACTAATGATTGTAACGTGACACTTTTATAAGTCATGGGTTGGCCCCAGGGTGGGAGACCGATCCCAGTGGAACATGCCACGTGCAAAGAAGCCTCTGCTGGGGACTCAGACGGGGACAGAAGAGGACATCTGGGTCATTTACTGCCTCTGTGGGTCATCCAGCTGGATGGGTGTGAGTTACCTTGGAAACGGGATCTCCAGCCTCCAGAATGGCTTCCAATGACCCCGGCCATCTGGCTTCATGCCCTTATGTAGGTATGTAGTCTCTGCCTTCCTCTCTACCATCACCCTGGCGGTGGCAAGGGAGGGGGGAGCTGCCATGTTGTGAGGACACTCAAGCAGTTCTGTGGCAAGACCCCCATGAAAAGCAGCTGAAGCCTCCTGCCGACAGCCAGCATCAACCTGCCAACCGCGGGGGGTGAGTCACCTTGGAAATGGGACCTCCAGTTCCAGCTGAGCCTTCATATGTGAGACCCTGATCCAGGACCATCCAGCTAAGCTGCTCCCAAGCCCTGACCCACAGAAACTATGACAGATCATAAGAGCTTATTGTGGTAAGCCATTACTTTGGGGGTAGTTTGTTATACAGCAGTTGGCAAAAGATTCGGTGGGACATCTCCCCACCTGCACCCCCAGATCTACCCTGTAAACAGATCTAAGTGGCATTCGTGTTCTGAAGAATTGCTCATCCAAGCACATGCTTGCAGGAGTGACCATTTTCTTTGGTACCACCCTGCCCACCGGGAAGGAAGCTCCTTAAGGACCAAGATTTGAGGGCACCACCTTCAATGAACCGTTTTCGTGCCACAGGAGGTCAGGTAATGCTCCAGTTGTGAAAGGGGATTTTGGATTTATCTCCGATCTGGGGTTAAGAAAAACCAAACCTTGATCATGACAAACCTCTCCATGTATATATAGACCAGTAAGTATAGGCAGCACTTCTTACTGTGGAATGTAACGACCGTTTGAGGGGAGGTTTGCTTCGAATAAACATTAACAAATTTAGCGGAGCAGAGGTTCACTTACTCTTTCAGGAAATCAGCTCCAGGATGGGGCCAGCTGGTGTCAGACCCTCTGTAGAAGGAGTGCACTGAGAACTGGCCTGACTTTGGACTTCAACTTTCGGCTGCTGAGGCCCCTGCAAGTGAGTTGGAGAAGAAGCCTCCAGAAACAGGCCGAAAGACGCTCTGGCTTCTGAGACCTCCCAGCCTTGGATCCCATACAATTCTTCAGTTGCCTTACACTCATCGAATCCCGCACTGCGTTTTGCCAAGTACAACGAGTGTATACTTTTAAGAGGAAATTAATGCATATGTTTCTGATCCATCTTATGTGGAAACGATCAAAATATTGTGTCTGAAGTAAAGTCATACCCAGAAGAGGCTTTGGGTAGTTTTGCCAGGTTTTGATGAATCTCTTTTCAGGATTGGGTTCTGGCCTCAGTGTCTGCCAAAGGCTCACAAGTCGGTGCAAACACCATCTCCTCCAGGAAGTCTCCCCTGGGGCCCCAGCCTCCTAGAACTGCCTCTTCTTGGTGCACAGGGGGCTCCAAATCAGGGCCACAGCCTATGGAACTGTTCTTTTTGCCCGGGTCACAGTCCTCCCAACCAGACTGTGAGTTGCCCCAGGGCAGGGGCCAGACATGCTCCTCCCTGGGATTTGCCAAGACGCACCTGCGCAGGCTCACGAGGTGCGTGTCAGGAGGTGAGGCCACACAAGGGAGGCTGGACCAGGAGGTGAGGCGAGGAGGCAGCCAGGGCTTTTGGGCTTTCCTGCTCTCAGGCAACCCCACCCAGGGTCTCAGTGGGTCGTCTTACAGTTTCTGCCGACATGGGTGTGGCTGGTCATAACGGTCCTGCCTCTTTCCTTCTTCTGAGGCGCCTTCCTGTTATTCCTCTACAGCAAAAAAAAAAAAAAACAAAAAACAACCAACAGGGTCATTTCCTGAGTGACAAGGGCTCACAACCAGAGTCCTGTGTTTTCCTTCCAAAGTCCATGGGAGGTGTGCTCCAGTTAAGCACTTAAAGTGAGCCTTCTGTACTGGGATGACTGGGGGTGGGGTTAGGGGGTTAATGTCTGGGCAAGAGGAAAACACCCTCGAATGTCCTCTCCGGAAACAGAGAAACGTTGCTTCCAAAAACCTAGCGGGAGTTTTGGGAGAAGCGGCAGCCTCAGACGTCAGGGACAGAACATTCAGGAAGGTTCCTCAGCCAGGCTGCCGCCTTCCACATAACCTTAGAGAGCCAGCATCCTGTTTGGAAAGACTGAGGAAGCTACTCTTGCAGAAACATCTAGCAACTCACGCTACGCTCTGGGAACCACAGACCCCTTGGCTGTAGCACAGAGCTCGGACGGGGGACGGCACGTGGGTTTCCTTCTTCCTGTGTAACTGTGTGCGTATGCGCGTGTGTTGTGGGGAGGGGAGTAGGATACACATGTTTACAATAGGAGACACTGAAAACACAGAAAAAAATTAAGAAGGGCTCGTAACCATCACACACAGTCCACCCAATCTTTCCCCTCCACATTTCCAGAGCCGACATCTCAGGCTCGAGACGCTTCTCTTCTGCTTTTGTTACTTCATGTGATCATATCATTATCATTGCCTGCCGTCACGAAGTGCTCCTTGGAAATACCATTTGATGGCTCCGTAACATTCCACGCGCTGGCTATACCACTGCCAACTTTAGTTTTTCCCTGGTAATGAGCAAGAAATGCTGGAATTCATCTTTGTATGGAAGTCTTTGTTTAGATCTCAGATTACTTTCTTGTTCAAACCCTAAAGTGATATTATCAATTATGAATATCTTAAGCCTTCTGATTCCTATTTCTGAATTCTACTCCAAAATGCCAATTTGGACCCCTATTCAAATCGCCTATCCACTGACTCTTCAGGCAAACTTAAAGGTTATGCAGACCAGCCCTTTATTTGGCAGATGGGGAAACTGAGTCCTGCGGAAGAGAGGGCCCAAACCTCACTCTGGTTAATCAGAGCCTGGTCTCTCCTGAGCACCTGTGTGCGGCCATGCCTTGGAGGAGGAAGCAGAAGTAAGAGGAAGACGTCACGGGGGCTCTCCTCCCAGAACCCTCACTCTTTCTGTAGCACAAGACATGCACTGACGTAGCACAAGACATGCACTGACAAAGCACAAGCCATAAAAAACAGGCTGTGAGCAGCTGGGCAAGTGTGAGGAGAGACTGTGCACATACAAAAAGGGGTCAGCCAGAGCCTCTGCTTACCCACATCCCAAGTGGCATCTCCAGGGAAGATCTGAGCACCTAGGAGTCTGGGCTGTGGGATCCCGTCTCTTGCTCAGCTCTGATCTCTGAGGGGTGGTAGGCAGGGGTCTGCTCAGGGAACACAGCCAACAGAGGAAGGGAATGAAGATCCATCCTTTGGGAGAGCCTAAAGAGGCTGTGCAGGCTTGGTCCAGGGACAGCAGTGCAGAGTGGTGCAATCCAAGAAGGCTTCATGGAGGAGGTGGTACATGGGCCAGGCCTTTTAGGAGCTGGGACTGGAGACTAGAGGAAAGTTTCAGAGGAGGGTGTTTAGGGTTCAGGCTGTAAATTTTTAAATGCAATTCTGGATTTATATAAGTTTAGGTTACTTCTTTATTTTTAAATGGCACAGTGCTGAAGCTAGTCTAATAAACAGAATCAAAGATATACCACTGCAAGGTAATTCAATGGGTTGCTTTTTTAACATTTTATACAGCAAAAAATTCCTTGATCACAATCTATGCCACACAATCACCCTGTCTAGTATGCAGGATGCCATGGGAGCCCCTGCCAAGAGGAGAGCAGGGGTGCAGGCCCGGTGTGGGAGGGGGGATCCTGGGGGCGATGGGCAGAATTTCCCTTTGAAGGACAGGGTGGGGATCGGAAGTTATGAGACCTGCAACCACAGGTTGCTTCCTGGCCTCCAGCTCAGACTCTGACTCAGTCACTGGGACCCCCCTTCTCTCCCAGCCTGGCCTGGAGCTGTTGCCTTTTGTGTCACTCTTTTCTCTCTTTTCTCGGTGGTGCTGTATTTGGCTTTAATCAGAGCCCTTGTCAAGCACTCGTCCCCTCCTTTTGTACTTCACTGTCCTCAGAGGGGAAAAATTACGAGCATCATTTTACACAAACTTCTCGGACATGCCGGGATTCCACAATTCCTGATGCCACCGACTTGTTTTCTGCTTACCACCCAGAGTCACAAAAGACAGACAGGAAGAATACCCACTTCTCCCCTAACTGCTGCTTCAAGTCCTGGTCGGCTAATGGCTTGCTGTGTCATCTTGAGCCTGTTGCTACTCCTCTCTGGGCCTCGAGTTACCATCTCTGCAAGTGGGCTGGCGATGGTCTCCAAGGGTCATTTCATTCCAATCTGCTATAATTCTGAGGTTCATAACTGGAATCATCCGGATGTAGGCATCGGGTCCCCGCCTCTGGCCATCTTTATCTTCTAATGCTGGTTGGGCTTCCTTACTCCACATCCGAGAACAGCATTCCTCAGCTCTAAACCTCTGACGGCCCCTGTCTCCTGACCTGACAATCAAAGCCCTTCCTAGCTTGGCCTCCACTTCCCCTTCCTGCCTCATCTCCTGTCCCTGTCACCCCGCCCCATCGCTGCCACCAGCAAGCAGCCTGCACTTAAAGTTTTCTTCATGCTTCTTTGGTTTGGTGTGGAAGTCTTTATTTAGATCTCAGATTACTTTCTTATTCAAACCCTAAAGTGATATTATCAATTATGAATAGTTTAAGGCTTCTGATACCTATTTCTGAATTGTACTCTAAAAGGTCAGTTTGGACCCCTATTCAAATCTCCTTTTACCTGGAGTGACCTTTCCCCTCTCTTTCCTTTACCTGTCTGACTCCTAACTTTGCCTCCGAAACCTAGTTCAAATACCAAAGCCTCGGGAAGGTGCCAGGGGGAATCGGTCTGCCCCTCCTTTGGGCTTCCCTGGCTCCTGGACACCCCCTAAACCCAGAACTCCCCTCTGTGTGGCCAGTACCTCTCAACTCCAGACCACAAACTCTTCCAGGGCAGAGACCATGGTCATGGTCGTCTCTGTGTTCCCGGTGCTCAGCTTGGGGCCTGGCACAGAGGACATATGGGTGCCGGTTGGCTGCATCACTGGGACACACAGGGAAGGCCAGAATTCAACTAGACAGGGCTGGTGAATCCACCTTAGCTCTGGTCTTGCAAGAGCGGTGTGGCCTAGTGGGAAGGACACAGTCCTGGAGTTACTTGTTTCAGGGTTCAAATGCCGATGCTATCACTCTCTGGGAACGTGCACTTAGGCAAGTCACGTAACTGCACTTTTCTGTCTATAAAATGGGAATAATAAAGGCAACTTTGCAGGTGTGTTGTTAAGAAACAGGTAAGAGACACATGCAGAGTCCTGCAGGTAGTAGGTACTCAATAAACGGTAACCCTAGGGCCCACCCATCATTCCATCCATCCATCCATCCAATATTGATGGGGTGTCTCCTGTTTGCTGGGTGCAGTGCTAGGCTGGGCATGTACAGTAAGCAAGCACGATGACATGGCTCTGATGTATTCTCCCCCTGTCCCTGGCCTGCTCTGGCGTTTGAGGTTGTGCCCTGGGTTTCCTTCCGGCCTGACCTGGTGCTGATCTGAGCTAGTGGGACGGACACCCTGGCCTGGCTCAGGCCCCCTGGGGGAGGAGTACTGGCTGCCTCTGCACCTGCCTGCCTGGGGCATGCAGGCCTGGGCTGCCCTGAGGAGGGCCTTGGAGACAGCTGAGAAGGCTCGAGAGGGTGCTGGGGCCCAGGGGTCAGTGCCGACCACTGGGGCACACGGAGGCTCCGGCAGCATCCTGCAGGGCCCTGCCGCCGGCCCCCACTAATCTGACCAAATCCCACCCAGCCCCCACCCCCAGGCTCCTACTCAGCCATCTCTTCACTCTTCCACCCCCCCCCAGGGCTGTTATGAGGATTCAATGAACGGACGTAGGTGAGGGTCTGGAAAGTCTCTGCACGTAGTGAGCACTGCAGGAGCATTTGCTTTCACTGTTTTATCGTTTAGCGCTCAAGGCAACTTGTGTGGGGGCATCAGCGCCCTCTGTTTACGGTCAGGCACTGTCGATAAAAACGCGTTATTACTGCCCTGAGCTGTATATAGACCTCCTCCATCTGGGGGCAGGGCCAGCACGGCGAGCGAGAGTGGGGCTGGAGACAGTGACACGGCCCCTTTGTGCGGGGTTGAGTCTAACACACACACACACACACACACACACACACACACACACATTCCTGAGAGATCCTCCCCAGGCAGCTCCTAGACAGACCCCCGCCGGGATGTGGGCCCAAACTCAGCCATCAGCCACAGCTGTGTTCAGGCAGCTCCTGGATGGGGGTGGGGGGGGGCCTTTCAGAAACACATCGCAGCAGCCCAGGCGGTTCACACGCCCGGATGCCTCGGTCCCAGACACCAAGTGAGAGGATTTACAAACATTTCCCACCCCCGCAGCTCAGGGCTCGGTGTCACTCTGCCCATTTCCCAGAAAAGGGGACCGTGGCTCAGAGACAGGGCTTGCTTAAGGCGCGAGTGGCCACAGCCAGGATGAGAGCCAAGTGTCCTGGGTGCTCAGCAGGCTCAGCCCCCTTTCCCAGTTCTCGGGGACTCAGTGGTCTTGGGAACTCCCTGCGGCCATGGTCCCTAAATACCAATAACCAGCAAGCCCTCACCCCAGGGCTCTTCCGGCTGGACTGTTTCCTCCACCGCAGCCCCTTTTGGGACTCACTCCACCCTCACATCGTGTGTTCCTTCACTCAGGGTCCTGGGCAGCCTCTGTCCTGATGTATCTGTCAGCACCGGGCACACACCCGCCCCTGGCAGCCCTGGGCATCTTCCGAGCTGGCTGAGACCTCCCCTTGCACATGCTTATTACTCCCTCCAAAGGTGACTCATGACACTGTTTAGTGAGGACCCACCTGAAGCTTAAGTTATCTGTGATTTAATGAGGAGTCTTTTAACGATAACATCTGTTGTTTTAATTACCAAAGGAATTATAAATGAGGCTCCCTGAGGAAACTGCTGCTGGGGCAGAAGCTGGAGAAGAATTCTCAACATCGGCGGCCCCGCTGGGTCCTTGGCACAGTGACTGCCACGGAGCATGACCTGTCACAGAGAGCGCTTCATCTTCATTTCAATTAAGCATTAAGGGTGAGGCGGGCAGCCTCCGGGTCCAAGGGGGCTGAGCAGCCCAGATCCTGGAAGATACTCAGTGTGAGTAAGCCTTCGGCTCTGTGCACGGGAAGAAAGCAAAGGACAAACCAGCCATTTTTGCTGATGCTGTCGAGGTACATATCTGTCACCCAAAACTGGGGTAGGGAAAGGGGCTGGTCCTCCCCCCAGCCCAGCTGTGCGACCTTCGCCAGACGAGCTGACCTCTCTGGATTCCAGTTTCTTCCTGTAGAAAGCGAAAGGGATGTCTTTCCTTCTTCTCTCAAGGAAATGGTTCATCCCTGACATTCGATTCTGGGTGTAGAGCTGGTGAGACATGTTCACACCCACCCGAGAAGAAGAACTCGGTGGGGTGTAGGATGAACGCCACATGGACGGAGCGTTCGAGACGGAGGAAGGGGTGTTTCATTGTCATTGGTGACAGTGATGCCGGAGTTTGTGATGGTGGTGACAGTGATAACAATCCTGCCGTTCCGCCAGTTTCTTACCCCTCCCGTATCCATGCCTTTTGCAGTTCCTCCCCATATAGAGGGTGAGTCTCTTTGCCCCACTGAATCCGGACAAGCCTTGTGATTTGCTGTGTTCGGTAGACTGCAGCACGAACGACATGCCTATTCCAAACCTAGGTCTCTGCCGACCTTGCACGGTGCTGTCCTCTCTCTTGCTCCTCCACCGTGACCGAGAGAACGTTCCTGGACTTGGCTACAGAGGATAAGAGTCATGTGAAGGAGAGCCAAGTCACCCTAGTGCCCCAGCCAAGGCCATTCGAGATCGGCCAACAGCCCACCAGTTCCCACTGCCCTTCCTGCATCTCCCAGTCAGAGTGCTCATCACACTCTACTGACATCTGGTCTACCCACCTTCTTCTCCAGACACTTGAGGGCTAAGAATACATCTCCCCCATCAATGGATTATTCATGCTCCGCATAGGAACTGGACCGTAGTACGTGTTTCATAAATGCCTGTTGTATTGGCTCGGCCCCCACCTGACCAAGCATGGATGGAAGAGGAAGGGGGTGGCCTCCTAGGAGCGGCTCCAGGTGTGAATGTGGAGGCCAGTTAGGTCCGGAATACGGATAAAGATGTGGGTCAGGGGCTCAGCGACACTGACGTGTCAACCAGCCCTTGTGTTTGTCTAAGAATTAGGTTTTTTTTTAAACAAAAAGTTATTTTAACATAAAGAAGCAGGCAGGTCTCACTTGACAGGAGATTGACTTCCTGTAGCCCATTTCATTAAGACTCATCAAGACTGGGGTTCCCTGCACCCTCTGAGCAGGCAGTGTGTTCAGGAGGTAGAGTGATAGGGAAATTAAACACAGAAGCTACATACATCCTTTGAAGTTTTTTGAGCAGCAAGGCCAGCCAATTCCACAGCGTACGTGTCTGGAGAATACCAGATTTGCTCCCATCTGAGCTTTCCATCCAAGCAGGGAGATAGCTCTTCTAATTAGCCCAGTTAGATAAATATTCTTCCACCCAAGCTCCTGTTTAGAGAAAACAGATGGATGCTCATAAACACGGTCATGGAGTGAATTTGTGTAAAACTACCCTTCTGCTTGAAGCGGCTTCCAGTATTTAAATACATATATGTACACATGTGCACAAGCACACACACACAGAGCTCTGATGCCATACAACAGGGCAAATTAAAAAGGGCTTAATATAGCCAAAAAATAAATAAATAAATAAAGGAGAGATTTCCGGTGGTAGTAAGACCCATGACATAGTGGGAGATCAGGACCTACAAACGTTTTCTTCCCTGGGGATTGTCCCTCCCCCAAGGTTGACCCTCACACACCCCTCCCTTTGACAAGATGATGCCCCATTTTATTCAGCAAGTCCCCACTCAAAGGCCTTTGATGTCTCCTTGGCATGGCTAGAATGAGGTCCACTTTTTGGGGTGACCTTTAAGGCTCTTCCCAAGCTGACTCGACCCTGCCATTCATCTTCATCTTCCAACCTTCCTCTTCCACCCCATCATCGTGTGCTACCGCCCTGCTCTAATTAATCCTGATAACTGTCACCGTCCTCACCACCCCCACCTGCATTTATTGAGTGCTAACTCTCTGACAAGCTGCGGACCAGGAGCTTTACATCCCTTATCTTATTTCCTCTTTGCAGTTTATGAGGTAGGCACAGGGATGACCCTCAGCTTGAACATGAGGAAATGTGGGCTCAGATTGGTTAAGAGGCTTGCTCCAAGTTGCACAGCTAGTAAGAGGCCAACAGCCACCATACCGACCTCTTTGCCTTGGC